GTAAAGACTCTCCCCTCATCTCCATCCCATTTCCCAAGGCATTCATATAGGTCTTCATTTTGGGTATTAAAAGCTCTTTATATTTTTTATAGTATTTGGCCGTATATCCATCCGGACCCGGGCTTTTCCCTCCCGCGCATGCTTTCTAATGCTATTTTTATTTCCTCTGAAGTTATTTCTGCCTCTAAAGAGTTCAGTTGTGTTTCTCTAATTTTCGGTAGGCCTGCCTCCTCTAGATATTTCTTTCTTTCCCCTCTATTTACTGTTTCGATTTTCTTAAACGTTATCCTGGGGTATAATATTATACAGCTCATTATAATATTCTTTAAATTTCTAGCAATATCCTTGGTTGAATTGTACAAATTTTCCCCCATTGGGATTTCTTATTTTTTTCTCAATATAATTTCTATTTTTCTTTTTTCTTAAAGTTCTCATTAATTACTTTCCCGGCCTGTCTCCCCATCTATATCTTTCACTTGTTATATTTATTAAAAATTCTTCTTTTTTTCCTCCTCCATTACATTTCTCTAATTCTTCGTTATTAACATCTGCATTATCTCCTTAGATCTTTCCCTTTTATGCACTTGTTCAAGATCATATATTTCATTTAATAATCTATTTATCTTTTCACTTCTTTCTTTTTTCTTTTTTGCTCCCATTGCAATGAGTAGACCTCTGATATAAACTTTATGTGCTTCCCACACAGTTGCAACCGAGACACCCCAGCTCTGTTTCATTCTCTTCAAAAAACCATTCAATTTCCCTCTCAATTCTTTGACCAATCTCTTCCTCCCATGAGAAGTGCCTCATTCAACCGCCATACATAACCTTCTCTCCTTTCTCTACCCCATCTCAACTTCATTGCAACTGGGGCATGATCTGACAGGGTACTTCCTGCAATTTTTACTTCTACACCAACTCTATCATTCGATGGTTCTACTAATTATATAATCTTTAGTCTAGAATAAGTTCTCATGAACATGCAAAAAGAAAGTTAATCTCTCTCCTTCATATCCTAATTCTCCAGATGTCTATCAGGCTGACACTCATGCATCAGTTTCTTTAACATTCTCAAAGATTTGCTTTCCTCCCTCTTCACAGAGGAAGTGGTGTCCATCCGCGGGTCCGAACAGATGTTTAGGTCACCCGCTACTATCATACATCCACTTTAAAATCCATTCAATCTCTTCAACTACTTCTCTCATAAACCTCTCCGGCTACTTATTTGGGCTGTATATGTTTGCGATATTGTACACTCAATTCCCTGTAATTTACCTCTCAAAAATAAAAAACCTTCCCTCCAGATCCAGTTAAAAATAAAAAAAAAATTCTCTCCTCCAGCTCGGAACCTTATTATTCTTTGCGAATCCTATAGACAACTCATTTTGCTCTTTTAGTTGGGTGATCCGCATAGAACCATGTTGGGAAAATATCTAGTCCTCAGTCTACATAACCTTCGACTCTATCTCTAAATGTGTTTCCTGCAAGAATACCACTGAGGGATTTTTCTTTATGTTGGAGTTCTTTAAATAACCTGAAATCTCTTTCCTGGACAACTTAACCCCTTTTACATTTTAGGTTATATATTGGATTTCTTCCATCTTACTCTTTTTTCTACCGTCTCCTTCTTCACTCTTTCCTTCTTCTCTTTCTTATTCCTATGGAGTCGTTTTTCGTTTGTATCCTCTCTACCCTTTTCTTCTCCCTTTTCCTCCCCCCCTCTCTCCATACACCCCTAAATCCACTTCCTCTCCCTCCTTCCCTCCTCCCCCCCCCCCCTTTTTAGGCCTTCACTTTGCCAAACCGTCATTTGTGGAGGCAGCATCCACCTTTGACTTAATCCTTAGGGCTTTACTCCTCCCATGGACGGCCTCCCCTCTCCCTCCGAATCCCCCCCTTGACCTCCTCTCTACTTGTACTTTCTTGAAAAGGAAAAAAAAAAAGGAGTCAGGCTGGAGGGACAAGGGAGAAAAAAAAAAGGCGACGGGATGGGAGCAAGGAAAGAGAGAGGAAAAAAAAAACTTCTCTCCTCTTCACTCACCCTCCCCGTCCCCTCCCCCCCCCACCGCCTCCACCCGCCTCCCCACCCCCACCCGCCTCCCCCCTCCCTCTCTTTGATCTGTTTCCCCCAGAATCTTCTTCCCAACCGTTTATTTCAATTTTCTGCATTTCAAGTCTATCACAAAATTTCTCCTCAAGTCCTCTGCGAACCTCAATTGGGCTGTTATTCCATTTTTCCATCCTATTAAACTCTCCGGAACTCCCCATCTATATTGCACCTTCTGTTTTTTCATCTGCTCCAGCAAAGGCCTCAGAGTTCTCCTCCGGAGAGTCTCTTTGTGACAAGTCCGCATATATTTGAATATCCATTTCTCCATACTTTATCACTGATTTTCCCTTAGTTTTCCTCCAGAGTCTTTCCCTTTGCTGTACTTCATAGAATTTTACAAGTATGTCTCTCGGCCTATCCTTCTCATAATTCCCCTGGAGTTTCCCATTTCTAGAGATTCTTTCTATATTAGTCCTTTCCATTTCAGAGTTTTCCATTATATCGTTCAGAATTTTGCAGACCATCTCTTCCAATATTTCTCCTTTTAAACTTTCGGTATCCCTCTTATCCTGATGTTTCTCCTTCTTTCTCTATTCTCTTGGATTTCCTGCCTTGTACTGCAATTTTTCCTGAGTTTTTTCCATATTAATTATCTTCTTCTCTAATTCGGAAATAATCTGGTTCTGATTTTCAACTTTCTGCTCCATTTCTTCCACCCTTAACAACAACTGCCCAGGTCATTCCGAATATTTACCATTTCTTGCTGCTTTATTGTTCTCTCTCAGATCTTTAAACATTTCTGTCATCTCTTTTTTATTTGGGATTTGTAAAGTCTTTTTCTATCTCTGATATTTGCTGATTACTGATATCCAATTCCAGTGATTGTTTAGGACTATTTTGCATACTTAAATCAGAGTCTCTATCATTTCTGCTCTGGGGCCTTTCTGGGGTCACATTTCCCTGGGATGTATACTTTTTAATTGTCCCTGTTTAGGTCCCCTTAGGCCCGGTTCCTTTTGTACTTTTATTTTTCATTTCTTCTGTAACTTTTTTCTTCTCATAGACTTATACTTTACAAAAACAAGGAAACTGATAAGATATATAGGTAGAATTCCCAGCTCTGTCTTCCCACCTTTCTGTACGCGTTTGGCTACACCTTGCGCTCTTCTCCTTATTTTTATTATTATTCTCTGGGGGTACCCCCCTTTTCTCTCTCTCCCCAGCTCTATACAGTTTTTTTTTTTTTTTTTTGAATATTTGGGGCCACCGCCAGACTCACTCACCCTTCCTGCGCTTCTCGTGAGACAGCTTCAGGCTCCACTCTCCTTCTCCCTCGATAGGTCAGCTCTCTTCCTTTCAGGGGGACCCTCCAGGGACTTTCCTCCACACTCTTCTGCTTTGTTGGATTGTTGGGCAGGCTCACCATCGATCCCCTGCCAGGGCTCCAGAGATAGCAGGTCGTCCGACAGAACGGGGATCTCTCCTGTTCTCTGTCAGTCTCCTCCGGCCTCCGGCAGGGCGGCCGGCTTCCTTGCCTCCCAGGGATGCACCGCAGCCGGTCACGTGTCCCAGCCGCGCCTCCCTGTTTCCCGGCAACCAGGCTCGGCGTCCAGGCTCAGCGCCCCCGCCTCTCTCCGCCGGTCTCTGCTCTCAACTCCCCTCACCGCGGGCAGCCACTCAGCCACAGGAGCCAGTAAGTCCCCCGGTCAAGGAAGGTCTCTGCCTTCTAGGGCTCCATCTCCATGGGGGAATGTTGAGGTCCAGGGGGGGGTAGGTCGGAGGGGTCTCGTGCGGGAGCTCCTACCACGAGCTCTCCGCCGCCGCCACCATAGTTAGGCTCCGCCCCATGTTGACCCTCCCCCCACAACCCCGTATAGATCTGAATATTGATCAATCCTGAAGTACTGACAGCCAATCTAATTTCTTGAGGTCCAAGAATGTCAGAATAGTACAGATATCCCCAAATGACCCCTTTTTGCAGAGTAGACAGTCCGACGTACTTCATAAGAGGCATGGCGAGTTTTTTGAAGTTGTATTTTTTTGTCATAATTTTTTGGAAAATTAAAAAATTAAAAAAATTATTTTCACTATTTTTTTTTTTTACATACTGTCACCAGTGCAGTACAGCGTCGTCATATAACTGGCATGGCGGTGAACAGGGACACTGACTGGTGACAGTATGAAAGAAAAAAAAAAAAAAATATATATATATATATATATATATATATATATATATTTTTTTTTTTTTATTTATTTATTTTTTTTTATATTTAATTTTTTATTACTTTTTTTTATTTTTTTTTTAAGATTTTTTTCATATTTTACTATGACCAAAGTAGTACTTTGGGAAAGTGATCAGTATTTTTTTTTTTTTTTTTTTTTTTTTCTTTTACACAATTTGCTTATAGCAAAGAATTTTTTTTTTTTTTTTTTTTTTTGCTTTTTTTTTTGTGCTTTTTTTTTTTTTGTGACATGTGCATGTGATTAGCTGTGACCATTCACAGCTAGGCACTAGTATACAATGGATGGCATCATGAATGAAGCCATCCATTGTATACAACTGTCATGTGACCTGCTGTGATTGGTCACAGCAGGTCACATGGTACCAGCAACGGGAGCCGGTACTCGGATCTGTCATCGGCCGTGTCCGAGGTGCATGGCCGGTGACAGATTGCACTGCTGCGCCGCTCTGCATTAGCGCAAACTGCACATGTGCGGGAGCACGCCAAATGGCGTGCACCCGGAGTGCAGAGACACTTCTGAAGCCGCCAAACGGCCATTGGCTAAATAAGGGCAATAATTGCCACCTGTTTTTCAAAGAATGAATGACCTCACTAACAGAACTCCACACTGCTATTATTTTGAACATGCCCCTTTCAATTAGTGATTCAATTACACAGAATCAGCAGCATGCATGTCATGACTGTTGGGTCTGTTGGATTTCTATTACTCTACTACACCTGCTAGTAAATTATTTGCCATATAGAAATATAATTTCTACCAAAAACAGTGATTGATCAGGTTAGTGATGTCTGACTGCTATTATTTTGAACACAACTGTATGTGCCTGCTTCCAAGTTCTTTTCAAAGTGATGCCTAAAGAATCTTCTATTCATAAAATAAATAAACTTGTATACGCATATTTTGTTACCGTTTAAAAGGACTTTGCCCACTATTGGCAAGCAGAGGGAAAAGGGCTAGCGACCATTGTATCCTTGCTGTATCACTGCTATTTTTCCCTACTGTCCTACCATGCTCTGTCTCAGTGTGTAGAGGTAGCCATATTTGGTAGAGGAGCAGAACTGCCACCTTCATCACTGGTTATCTGATGACTGATGGGGTAATGATCAAGAATCAACAGGAGAGGTGAATAAAACAAATCCACAAAGAGCAGCAAGCAGGAGATCCTTGCATAAAGGTCCTTTGGTACAGATACCTCTTCATCAGTCTCTCAGGAGAACCGTGAGCAGCCCAGTAATGACATTATTTGAGATGACATGTTTAGCTAATATTCTACAGAACAGGAGTGTCTAGGCACAGTCATATGTGAGGAAGTGCAGTTCTAATTTATTCAAATATTTTTAGGGCGCTGCTTAGATTAAAAAATTATCTAAAACATAGCAAATCTTTACTTTTAATGCATAGGTCCACTTTAGGAAAGCCCAGTGTTCATGACTGGAGAGACTATGGGGGAGAGTTACTAAAACTGGTGTGCATAGAATCTGGTGCAGCACTGCCTAGTAACCAATCGGCTTCCAGGTTTTATTGTTAAAGCTTAATTGAACAAGCTGAAGTTAGAAGCTGATTGGTTACAATGCACAGCTGCACCAGATTTTGTGTGCATCAGTGTTAGTAAATGCCCTGTGATATGCAGAGTAAGTCATTATTTGCTGACTAGTTTAAAGATTTTGGCCATGGGACATGCTTATGACACATATGTTTAACAAAGACAAAATAAACCTATCCTGCTCTGTGTTTAACCCAGCTCAGTGATGTTGGATTTATTATAACTCTGTCAGCGTAACAGTCAAGTAGCTAGTAGTTTTTGTTAGGCCACCATCAACAATGCCTACCAGCGTAATGTTCTTAGTACAATTTTCCCATAGACATAAGGTAGCCCACTTTTGGTCAGACAATCTCATGTCTGTGCAATGCCGCAAGATGCCTCTGGCCTCAGGGGATGTAGCAGCATGTTAACCATCTTTGATGTACATGTAGGTTTGCAGATTAGTATAGCAAAAATAAAATGAAACTACATTCCTAGTCTGCTGTTATGGTGTGTTCTACAGTAACCCTTGTTTATGAAGATGTATAAAAGCAGCCCCTGATGGCTGTCAGTCTGCAGGTGGAGTGGGTTTAAAGATCTCAGACGTTCATGCCTTTAAGACTGTCTTACATTTTTTATGAATTTCTAATATTCATTTTGGTTTTCAACTATACTACATATTATTTCTACTTTGTTTTTAGATTGTCAGGAAGTGTTGGTTGATTTGTTAGTTTCATTAATGAGTTACAGGATTACATCAGAGGAACTGACTCTCTTCCTGCATTGTTTTCTGGAAAAGACTTTGCCCACTGTAAGTATTAAATAAGTAGCACATTTTTCCAATAGCCTGATTTTTAGCTGTAGATTGCTCTTCATATCCAATACCAAAATTGTCCTTTTTACTAATTTAGCTTTACAGCCTGTTCTTTCTATATCCTATTCTATCTTTGCTATATCTTAGTACAATGAGTATTCTGCCACTTGTTTAAGTGCTGATTGTATGGAGTACTGAGTGATCAGCTGTGACAAGTTAATGTAAACCGAATTACTTTTTTCTTTAAGCTAACAAACATATGGTTACCTGTGGTTTTGCACAGAGCAGCCCCGAATCTCCTCTTCTTGGGGCCCCTGCTGGGAACTTCCTCCATCCCCCCTAACACCCCCCCCTTCCCGAGTTCTGCTTGATATGGGGGCACTCATACAAAACAAATACAAATTTAACAATTTAAAATTAAAAACAATGTGAAATTAAAAAAAAAATATCCAGTAGAGAAGTGTTCTAATTGTCTTTATAATTATTTTTGTTTTAGGAGATGCTCCTAAAAGGAATTTTGAATATTTACAGAGGCTAACAACAACATCGTACCTCTGAAATACTTGACCTTTCCCCTTCAACAAAACACAGGTGGGGTGACTGGTTCAGTACAGAAATCTCCTGGTTGTGCCACTGGAAAAATGAGCGGATTCTTCAAAAGAGCTAAAGTTTGGCACAGTAAAGATATGCATGGTGACACCTTGCTTTCGTCATGGCACATTGCACCTATCCATTTACCTTTGGTTGGTCAAAACTGTTGGCCACACATGTCAGATGGATTTAGTTTTACAATTTGGTTGAAAATGGAGTACAGTGTGGACCTGGAATATTTGATAAAAGGAAAACACATTAAAAAAAAGAATAAAATGGTTCCCATTCAGATGCAAAACACAGGTAGTATATCAATTAATTTTTTTCAGTGTTTTTTGTGAAAAGGGAATAACCATACTTCTCTTTCTAGATTAATTAGTCTATTAAATAAAATTTTTGTAGAAAAACATGTCCTGGTACTTTAATTAAACCATTAAAATATTTGAAGCAGAGTTCCAAGCAAAGTGGAAGCTCCCGTTTTCTGCCCCCCTGCACCCCCCCGCTGCCACATTTGGCACCTTTTGGGTGAGAGGGGGGGAGCAGGTACCTGGTATTGACAAGTACCCACTTTCACTTCCGGCTGAGTTCGCCACGTCGAACTAATTCAGTCGTTTGGCACCCCCTGCAGCCCTCTGGGACATTTCCAAGGTTCTAGAGGACTGCAGACCATTCACAAAGCGCAGTGTGCTTCATGCCTGCACAGTAGGAAGACGGCGGTGAAGCCACAAGGCTTCACTGCCAGTTTCCCTTGGTCAAGATGGTGGCACCAGTCCCCGACAGCTGATTGAAGAATCGGCTCAGGGTGAGGACACTACTGGATGCATGGACAGGTAAGTGCTGTAATATTAAAGGTCAGCAGCCACAGTATTTGTAGCTGCTGATTTTTTTTTGGGAGGTGGCGGGGGACGGAATTCCTCTTTTAACAGGATACTTGTTACCCCCTCAGATTCACATTTTGTATAGATTGTTCTCCCATGTATTATTATAACTGGAATGTTTAGTTTTAACTTAACTTTGTAGTTTACAGACATAGTTAAGGATGTGTCACATCGGGGTCAGTTCACAAAAATTGCACAGATCATTGCGGCTTAAATAACCAACGCCTTCTTACTAGTGGTAATTGCAAGTCTCTAGGGAGCACCTATCGAGAAGCTAAAACTGACCAAATGCCATTTTGTGTTAAATACAATAGTTAAACATCCATTTATTGAAAAAAAAAAACCCCAAAAAAACCCATTTTGATGTTTACGCTACTGGTAATAACACTACAGAAGAAAACACATTGAGTAGAATGAATAGAAGACCGCACAGCAGCTCATTTTGTAAACCACAGGCTTAACTTGTGATGCCATGACCATAGATGTCTTCCAAATAGCAGATGGAGGATTTAATTTAATTGTTCTCTGTAGTATTTGGATCTGCTGCTTTTTTTCCTTGCAATTCGCCTAATGCATTGAAGCTGTACATGTATGGTTAAACTGGCTGCGTACACTACGGTCTGATTTAGATTGATCACAAAGTTGCAGGTACCTCTGAAAGAGGGTCCTAAGAAGTCTGCTCCCTTAGTGTAGTTTGTAATTGCTGGCTTTGTGAAAATGCTAATTACTAGGAGTTATCCTGCTGCAATAATAGTGTCATGGACCTAGAAAACGTATACTACAGTGAGAATGAAAGGTGGACTCAAATCCTGATTTTCCTTTGGATCATCATGACTGTCCAGCAACTTTCATTTACTCTAGAAAAGTTAGCTATGGCAAGCTACATACTTCTCTAATACAGGGTTTCTTTAAAAACTCTGTAAAAACTCTGATCTGTAGCCTGTCCTCAAACCCCTATTCCTTATTGTGTATTTTTCATTCACTGACACTGTAATGCATGTGGCAATATGCCCTGTGCTAATCATGTTACCATGCAATTTCATATGCTGTGCTTTTTGAAACATATAAATGGATTTTTTACACTTTTGAATATGCAGGCATAAGTTTTTTTCGTTTCTCATACCAGAAACTGTGTGTTTATACTTAACACTTATAAATTGCATTTTCTTAAAGAAAGGCTGAGAATGCTTTTTTGGTTTTCTTAATTTCTTGTTTGCAGAAGCTGACAATGCTCTTGGAACAGATTGTTCCAGTAATGACAGGCTTGTAGATGATGGTTGCATACATCTGCTGTCCATGGGTTCTAAAGTGCTGATGATGCAGATCTGGGTTTGCATGACAACAGGACGGCTTATTTTCAGGTACTTTTTGTTTTCTTAAAATTAATTTAAACCTAAAACATAAGTTAAAGTGGTTCTAAAGGCTTGATTTTTTTTTTCATTAAAATAATAAACACATCATACTTACCTGCTTTGTGCAGTGGTTTTGCACAAAGCAGCCCTGATCCTCTTCTGGGGTCCTTTGACTTCTTGCTCTTCCCCCATTGCCGATTGCTCTCAGAGCAAGATGCTTGCTCTGGGGGGCAGTTGTGCATGCTCACTCCAAAGCTTGCTCTGTGGCTCAAAGTGGCTCAGTTCTGCTCCCTCCTCATTGGCTTCTGCGTCTCTGCCAGTGAGGAGAGAGAGAGAGAGATCTAGGAGAGCTGCTGTTCTCGTGCAAGTAGCTGGATCAACATTTGACTCAGGTAAATATTGGGGGGGTTGCGGTGGGGGAGCTGCACACTGAATATTTTTTACCTTCATTCAAAAACAATGTATGTGAAATACAGTTTGGCATAAAATATTGCAACAACCAACATTTTATTCTCTAGGGCCTCTGCCAATATATATATATATATATATATATATATATATATATATATACATATATATATATATACCGTATTTTCCGGCGTATAAGACGACTTTTCAACCCCTGAAAATCTTCTGAAAAGTCGGGGGTCGTCTTATACGCCGGTGCGAGCCGGTGTCAGGGCGGCACTTCTTCGAGGGGCGGCGTGGCGCCGCCCCCCCCTCCTCCTCCAGCGGACACCAAGTACAGGGGTGGACAGAGGGGCTGCTGTACCTTACCTGGCTCCGGTCCCACGACGATCCGGTCCAGGAAGCGCTGCTGCACCTTATTTCAGTTCGGCCACTCGATGGTCACGCGGCCGCTCGGCTCCGCCTACTCACCGGTGATTGGGCGCCAGCACTGGAAAGGCACACAGGCGACCAATCACCGGCGAGGAGGCAGAGCCGAGCGGCCCCGCGAAAATCGAGCTGCCGCACTGGAAGAAGGAGCAGCCGCTCCTCTCCCCCACTGACACTAACGATGGGGCACTATTCCTCCCCCCCACTGACACTAACGATGGGGCACTGTTCCTCTCCCACTGACACCAACGATGAGGCACTGTTCCTCCCCCACTGACACCAACGATGAGGCACTGTTCCTCCCCCACTGACACCAACGATGAGGCACTGTTCTCCCCACTGATACCAATGATGGGGCACTATTCCTCCTCCCCACTGACACCAATGATGGGGCACTATTCTCCCCACTGATACCAATGATGGGGCACTATTCCTCCCCCACTGACACCAACGATGGGGCACTATTCCTCCCACTGACACCAACGATGGGGCACTATTCCTCCCACTGACACCAACGATGGGGGCACTATTCCTCCCACTGACACCAACGATGGGGCACTATTCCTCCCACTGACACCAACGATGGGGCATTATTCTCCCCATTGACACCAACGATGGGGCACTATTCCCCCCACTGATACCAATGATGGGCACTATTCCTCCCACTGATACCAATGATGGGGCAGTATTCCTCCCACTGATACCAACGATGGGGCACTATTCTCCCCACTGATACCAATGATGGGGCACTATTCCTCCTCCCCACTGATACCAACGATGGGGCACTATTCCTCCTCCCCACTGATACCAACGATGGGGCACTATTCTCCCCACTGATACCAACGATGGGGCGCTATTCCTCCCACTGACACCAATGATGGGACACTATTCCTCCCACTGATACCAATGATGGGACCACTATTCCTCCCACTGATACCAATGATGGGACACTATTCCTCCCACTGACACCAATGATGGAGCACTATTCCTCCCACTGACACCAATGATGGGACACTATTCCTCCACTGACACCAATGATGGGGCACGATTCTTCCCACTGACACCAATGATGGGGCACTATTCCTCCCACTGACTAATGATGGGGCACTATTCCTCCCACTGACTAATGATGGGGCACTATTCCTCCCACTGACTAATGATGGGGCACTATTCCTCACACACTGACACTAATGATGGGGCACCATCATTGGTGTCAGTGGGAGGAATAGTGTCCCATCATTGGTATCAGTGGGAGGAATAGTGCCCCATCATTGGTGTCAGTGGATGAAATAGTGCCCCATCATTGGTGTCAGTGGGAGGAGTAGTGCCTCATCATTGGTGTCAGTGGGAGGAATAGCACCCCATCATTGGAATACCATACTGAAATACCATACCATATTGAAATCAAATCTGATGTTTTTTTATTTGGTGTGCGTTGGAAGAGAGATATTTTAACAGGAAAAGTAGGGGGTCGTCTTATACGCCCAGTCGTCTTATACGCTGGAAAATACGGTATATATATATATATATATATATATATATATAGATAGATAGATAGATAGATATATAATGTTTGAGGGTTCCAAGTAATTTTCTAGCTAAATAAAATACTGCTTTTACATATAGGAGAGAAGTGTCAGAATAGACCTGGTCTTCAAGTGCAGATGCTATAAAGAATTATATTGTAGAAATTATGTAGCTTAAAACAGACGTCTCATATCTTTCATAATGACAGCAAAAGTCATTTAGAAGTAATTTTAACTTCACGTGTGAATGAAGCTTTAGAAAACAGGTGTTAAAGATGAACCATGGTATATTCATGTCTAAGAGGTCAGCAGGTCATAAGCTTAGTTTTAAGAATAGCAATTGGAATGTAAAAAGATATTGGTATGCAGTAGAACAAAGAAAGGATATGTCTTTTATAAAGAAAATCATGTCTAATCCATAATATAGTTAGTTGGATAATTATTTCATATAATCAATTTATTAGTTAGGAATAGTGTGTGATAAGTTTAGTATCAATTATTGTTGGTTATATCTATGCATTTATGTGACCATTATCCTTTCTAAAGATATGTGAAGCCATTATATCAGATGACAGTATCATATATTTCTGTCTTCTAAGAGGTTTTCAAATAACGTCATACTAAGTATAGTTTAGAAGGTTTACATATATGGACACTAAGAGTATATGTTTAGAAGAAGCACAAATAAGGGTTTTACTTATTTAGCTCACACTGAATTAGGAAATAACTGGTTTAGTGGGTTGGTCTGGTAAAATATATATAACATGTGCCTTAGAGATAGAGAGACACATACACTCACTCACACTCATACATCAAGACATTATACAGCTGAACACGCACTGACATATTTGTCTCCTGGTAAGGCCTGCAAAGCCTTGATACACCTGTTGTCTTCCTTGCCGAGACTGAAACACTTGTCATAGAACAGACAAGAGATTAGACATTTCTCCAAAGCTTATTTCTTTTTTCCATAATATACAACTTTTGTTATATTTTACTCTGTATTTTATTTTATCTTTTGTATTCATTTTTGATGCCAAGTGTGCATTAAATAAAGTCACACACTGTTTTAAGTCAGCCTGGCACAGAACAATTTGCCTCAAACGCCTAAAGACAGACACTTAAATATATAAGTGTCACGATATTTAACATTGGCTAAGCCAGCCTCCGCCACCGTTTTTCCGGGTTTTTCATTCCTTGCTAAAGGGGGGAGAAAGCACAGCACAGACCTGATCAAGTCTTGGAAAAACACGGTGCAAAGAACCTAGAAGTGAAGGCGTTTGTGTTTCGTCAGACGTTGACGAGAGGTCCAGTGACGGAGCCACCGGCTGAAAAAAAGAAAATCATCTGATTACGGTGAGTAAAAGTTATGAAATTTATTGATAAACTAGCTATAGAAAGCAAGTTAGAGTTTAAGGATGTTTCTTTATATATCCTGATGATGGTAAATTATGGCAGTACATGTACAAGGAATGTTTACAGGCCAATGTTCAGATAGATAAATCTAGATTTACTGTAAAACAAACAGCATAAGAAGATATCTAATATCTTAAAGTTGGTAAGAATATTCAACAAAATGATTTTGAATATTGACTTACCTGCTAAAAGTGTTTCTACACTAAAGCAGACAGAATGTAGCACTGTACAGAACACAGAAATGCATGAACATTTGTCTCAAGATCCTCTTAATTGTCCAAATTGTGACATACTTTGTACTTACATAGAAAATCTTGAGGAGCAAATTGATTCTAAAACAAATCTTTTGTTAAGACTGCAGAATGACAGAAAGAGGTTGCTGTATTAACAAAAGGTGGTAAAAAGACTGATTCTAAACAGTCAAAGCCTCAAGCTTCCTGCATTCCTGAAAATGGGGGAAGATGACGCAAATGACGAAGACGAAAGTTAGAAAGAAAAAACTACTAGACCGTGCAGCTAAATTAAAATTACAAATTCATGATCAATTAATTAAAATTTTAAAAGATATTCCAGCGTATGACTCAAAGGTCGATGCCTTTTATAATGCGGACATCTTCGAGTCTTATACAGATCGTTATCACTTGACTGACGAACAGCGTAACCGTATCTATTATCTTTGGATACCTGCACATTTTGCTAGACGACTTGTGCAATCACCTGTTATTGACGATGACGGACAGGAGATACATAGTGACGCATCAGACAGATTACGACAATTGTTGTTATGTACCACAGGTGAGGAAGTACCTTCTTTAGAAGTACTAGACTCATTACAGACTTCAGTTAGAGAAGACCCTTATGAATTTAAAATTAAATTCACAAAGGCATACAAAATGGTCTTGGGCGTAGATGATGAAAACGATACAGGGATGATAAAAGCATTTGTAAAAAAATTTAAATATCTTGATCCAACTTCTTTGGCCATTGTGCAAGATAAAACTTCGATTACAGATGCTTGTTCATTCATTGATAAAATCAGAAGACAAATGAAACAGAACTATCTCAAGTCTAAGATAGCTCTAGTTCAAAATGACACTTTAAATAGGAACGGTCAAACTACAGCTAAGACAGGAATGACTGCTCTTAGTAAAAAGTGACAGATACAAGCAGGTGAGACAGAGAGAGCCAATAACTTGTTACTACTGTCAAAAGCCTGGACATTTAAAATGG